TGGCCAGCCCGAAGTACCCTTAAAAGCGGTTGTTTCTATCGTTGGTCAAACAGTGAACAGGAGTCTACAATCTGTCTTTGTCGTGTCTGGTCCTGTCAGTCTTCCTTTACATCAGTTCGTGCCGAGCCAAAGTGTGTGCGTGTGTGTTTCGTTCTTGTTGTTTTGTTGGGCGGGGGGTGGGTGATATGTTAAGAGTTTACCATGTAAAGTCTGCGACTTAGAGTTTCAACGCTTTTGGCTTCAGGTTCAGGGCTTACGGTGTTTTGACTTGAGGCTTGGGTCTGAAATTTGGAGCAACGCAGGCTTGTCACGGTTCAGGCTCTGGGGTCTTCTTAAATTCTTAGATATGGACTCAAAATACTTACCATCTAACCTTAAACCGCCCTAAACCCAAGCTAAACACTAACCCTAACCATAAACCGAAAAACACCGAGGCCCCTCCAGAATCCACAAGCTACCACAGGTTCAGGGTTTAAGGTTCAGGATTGTTCCCCGCCGAAGCAAGTCCTGCAAGCCTCGGAGTCATAGCTCCCATTCGCATTCCCTGCCGCCCTACATGTGGGTGGTTTTCTAAACTAGGGTCCCTTTTTATGGTCCTTTCAATAAGAGTGCCTACTATATTGGGGACCTTAAAAGGGCCCTAATTTAGAGAACTACCTATGCACTAACTCCATGATGTCGAGACTACGTGTGTGGGGTCCACGAAGCACAAAATCAGACGCCCTAAAACCCGATCGACCTCCACAGCCGTTGACTTTCTACAACCCCAATCTAAGGGGTTTAGGGTTAAGGGTTTAGGGCTTCGGGACCCCAATCCAAACGCTTAAACCTGAGTGCAAAACACTGATCCTTAAGCCCCAAACCCTGAGACACTTAATATAGGTGCCGGAAGAATTGCAAATACTATTCCTTAGGGCTCTATAAGAACACTATTTCTGATTAAAAGAAAGGCCCTGATATGATAGTCAGCGAGGTGAAGGCAGCGGTGGAGGTGGCGGTGGCAGAGCATCCGCGATTGCGCGAGGTGCTTTCAGACTGCGGTCTTTGGGAGGACCCCGGGTTCTCTTTCACGGGTTCTTCCCTTTTCAAGTGGTCTTTCCTTGAGGGTTTAGGGTTTTGGGTTCTTTCCTTTAGGGCTTCGTTTCAGGGTGTTTCCTTCAAGGGTTTCCTTCAAGGCTTCCATGAATGGTTTCGGGGTTCCAGGTCGTTCCAGGTTCCCTGAAGGCTTAATTCAGGGCTCAGGGCTTTGGGTTTGGGGTCAAGGCTTCCGTTTAACCCCGCCCAACTGCTTGGAACCTGGAGCAAGGAAGATGAGTGCTGTGTATCTCTTTGGTATATTTTAGCGCTTTGGAAAACCTTATTGCCGCTACTACCCGCGAACCTTCAACCCGCCACCTCTGAAGTCCCCTATAAAGCTTTACCCTCCAATATTTTTCAGAAAGCCGCTGTGCAGCCGGTGTCGAATCTTGTCCAGGATACAACCATATGATTTATTTTTGATTTAGTTTTTATTGGATTTGTCAGTTATTGCTCAATTATTATTAATTGTTATGAAGTACTACTACCTATGATCAGTTGTTATTAACTAAAATAAAGCTCCTCGTCTCCCTAAAGGCTGAGCCCTCTTGTCCCCCAGGAAGTAGAGCTGGACCTCGAGGCTGACCA